TTCTAAGTTTTTCTTATATTTTATTATAGTTATTTTTAGTTAGTCATAGGACAACACATTCAAGAAGGCTTCTAAATAGTGTTTGTAGTCGATTTTGTGTTAGCCGATTTTATCAGCTTAGCCGGCTAAGTCAGCCAATTTTTCAAAAAATCAGCTTAGCTTAGCCAATTTAAATATCAGGTTATATTGAAATTATATTAACCAATCAAATTTTACAACAAATAATAATTTCTTTTAATACGTGCTAATATAATAATAAATCAATTCACATTTGATCAGGTAAACAATTTGTATGTATAAGTTGTCAGTATCTTACGTATTCACGTATATTACATATCAAGAATTTCAATTTTTGCGATGTATATATAAAATAATAAGCTTTATATACCCGGTAAATAATCACATACATATACATAAGCTAATTTTCTAATCGGGACACAGATAAAGGAATTACTTCTAAAATGTAATTGCAGATCTCAATTTAGATTATTTTAACATCCTTACACACAGATTCGGAACCAGTTTGACACCTATATACATATGTACACATAATATTTTTTGACTTTTCTAACTGACAATAATAACAAATAAGTATTAGTTCTTACAAATTAGCAATAAATTATGCATACTGACCTGAAATCTAAAGAAATCTATGCATGAGGTCCAAAACCCTGTCATCACAAGCAAGATTATGTATTAATCAAATAGGTACGTATCACTATAGACATAGTACTAGAACAAGTAGTGTTCCATTATAGTATTAAACAAAATAAAAATGATTAAATTTAAATGAAAAAAAATTTTTTTTGTTCAATGAAGAAATTTTTAATGCGAAATTCATATCCCCATGACCATTCATAACAACTGAAACTATTTTGCTTCAAAAAAAATCATTTATGGCATGACCCACGCCTTCTAGCCCTCATTAGAATAACAATTCGACATAATAAAAATTCCAAATCAAATATTCACCAGTATTATCAATTGAACTAAAAGGCATATTTTCAATCAAAATTCGACATATACTAATTGAAATTGGACATATGTTTAATTTTAATTGAATTATGCCATTTGCTACGTAAACCATTTAGCCCAGTTGACAAAACTGGTTTCAACTGATAAAACATATAAGGTATCCTCCTGATGTAAAATGGCTATAATAAAAGTTACTTGTATAATATTACAGCTGCATAATATTATACTAGTGCATGATAATGTGATATCTAGCTTGGGGTATGGGAAAATTTTTGGCATAACTGACTTTGGTTCCTATAAAAAGCGAATGCTAATAAATAATTTAGTTTAAATAAATATGTATTAAAAAAAAGTAATATAATGCATCAAATTTCATACTGTACTCCAGTATTATAATCAAAAAAACCAATCTACACAATTATTACAAGTTCTAGCATAATCTGTCCTTTAAAGATGTCTAGTAACCAATCGTTTGATGAAACTACTGGTGAAGACATGTCATTTGAGTATGAAGGAACCTATAATTTTAAAAATAATATTCTTATTAATGAAAATATTATTGATGATGAAAATAATAACTATGATGAAGACGGTAAGAATACTGAAGATGGAGAGGATAATACAACAGGAACTTTGCCTATTACATCTTACTTTACTTCTTGTAAAAGACCTACAGAAAAAAGTTCAAACCAAAATGTAATGCAAAAAAAAAAAGTAAGCCCGAAAGCAGTTGGGTATGGAAATATACTTGCCGTGATAAATCAACAAAAATCAGACATTGTGATGTTCGTATATATGATGATGATAGTACCTCTAAAAAGTGCACAACAACATTTATGCCTAAAACATCTACAACTAATATAGCTACACATTTGCGTACTGAACATCGAATTTATAAAACCCAAAAATGGGAAGCACAAGCACAACCACTCTAACACCAACTACAATTCCCACGTCAACTAATCAACAAACAATTGAAACAGTGATACAAAATCACATAGAAAACACATTACCACTTCCTGAAAAACAGCAAAATCATATTAGTTATCAGCTTGTTGCTTGGATAGTTAAGGAAATGATGCCATTAAATTGTATTAACCACGATTGGTTCTGAGATTTTTGTTATAAGATTAATCGATGGTTTGAAATTTCCTGTACCAACACAATTAAAAATTTAATTAAAGAATCAGTACTTTATACACATGCAACATTAAAGGAAATGGTGGCCCAAACGATGGTTTCTGTCTGTATTACTACTGATTTATAGACCCAAAACCATGTTCTATATATCGGTATAACAGCCCACTAGCTTTCCGAAAATTTTACAATATACCAATCCTTAATCACAATCGAACATTTTGCCTATCCGCATACAGGAGATCAGATCGAAGATTTTTTGTGCAAAATTCTTTCTGAATGGGATGTGTTTTATAAAGTTAAAGCAGTGACAACTGATAATACAGCATCAATGATTAAAGCAATTAGACAATTAGACACCACCCACCTTGGCTATACTATTCATCTCGCGGTTACAGATGGTTTAAAAAAATGTGAATCAGACAAATATCAATTATTATTCTGAAAAATTCAACATGAGTTAATTGAAAAAAAAAAATTGAAAATCAACCTACAACTAATATGCATATTTTAGAGCCAATATCAAGTGATACAGCCACTAGGTGGAATTCTACCTATCTTGTTCTCCAGCGGCTTCTTGAACTTAAAGAATCGATTTTAAAATTGGCTAAAAGTTTGGCAAATGATCCTGACTGTAATACTCGTGCCAATAGCAATAGTCTAAATCAAAAGATGCTTTCTGATGAAGACTAGACAGGTAAAAAGAAAAACAATAATTTAAAACATGAACATATACTGTATTTTTTTTTTCATTTGATAATAGTTTGAGTAGAGTTTAGGGTCAGGGTTTATTAATTAAAATGTATAGATGGGTTTTAGTAGATCTTATAGTTCTAAATAGAAACCTAAAGATTTTTTTTTTTTTTTTAATATTGAGATGACCACTTAGGCCCCTGGCACTTTATTAGTTCAAACGAGTGGGCCATCCGAAGACTGGCTTATATATTACATCAGTATAACGAGAGTACAACTAGTCACACGTACAACTTTTGGTTGCCTATT